TATATATCAGCAACAATCACAAATGAATAAAGACAAGTGTTTCATAGGTTAATTCAAATCCTCCAATATACTTATACCGTAATCCACACAATGGAATATCACTACGATTAGGAAACTTCACCAGTGTAAACTACTCAGCGAGGGCAATCAAGGTGTATCATAAGGCACCAACAAGCCAATATAAGCAGACAGTGTAATAAAACAAAACCATGAAATAATTAAACTCTTCAATAAAGAGAACAATAGTTAATATGAAGCGATTAGACATGAAAACATATATGAACAAGTAGCAATTAAGACATGGAAGCAATTATGAGCAAGTAGCAATTAAGGCAAGAAATAGTATAATAGGAAACGGGGAAGGGAACAAGCCAAAAATGAAAATTTTGTGGCGCATATGTCACGACCCAAATCTCAGTCATGATGGCGCCCAACACACTACTAGGCAAGCCCGACCATTATTCAACNAATGTCACGACCCAAATCCCGGTCGTGATGGCGCCCAACACACTACTAGGCAAGCCCGACCATTATTCAACACTTAACCCAATTTATCAAAAATAGCGGATGGAAATATCAATTAATTCAAGATCAAAGTACTGAAGAGTTTAACAAAATACACAACATAATCTCACTAGGACCCGGCGTCACGAATCTGAGCCTCTAGAGTACAGAATATCATCCTAATACATAGTGTATCCAAAGTCTAATAATGCGGAAATAAAAAAAAGATAGGATAGGAGGGAAGAAATCAATGCTGCGAACGCCGTACAACTTCCTTGATATTCCCCAAAATGCTGGATCCATTGATCAACTGCCTGATATTGCCCTGGATCTGCACACAAGGTGCAAGGAGTAAAGTGAGTACTCCGACCTAGTGAGTAATAAAGTAACTACAGTCCGAAGATAAGAAAACCCAGTAAATACACAAAGTAAGCTAAAATCCAAATATACAGCAATGTATGGAACCGAGCAGCTAAACAACAGTATAGATACAAATACATGAATATAATGCAATGCATATGATGGTACATTCCAGTACCCACTGCGGCGTGCAGCCCGAGCCATCCATATTTATTTATCGTCGACGGCGCTCACTGGGGGTGTGTACAGACTCCGGAGGGGCTCCTACAGCCCAAGCGCAATATCTTGGTCAGTCATTGTTACCTGACCGGTCAGCCATTGTTACCTGACCAATTTATATCATACAGTGCCATTGTTACCACTGTTCAAGTATATCATCCAGTGTCATTGTTACCACTATTTCAAGTATATCACACAGTGTCATTGTTACCACTGTTTCAAGTCACTTTATAATCAGTCCAGAAAATAATATAATAAGCCCCTTGGGCATTTACAAAACAGAAGTTCCCAGCCCGGAATACATTTAAAAATATCATTTAAGTTTTCAACACTTAGAATTATGGTTGAGTTTGCAAAACAATATTTAAAACCTTGGACTGAAATTAAATGATATGCAAATCATGCAAAGCAGTAATATCAATCCTCGAAGAATTTACAAATCGGCACAAGGCCCCAAACATGGCATCATGCCCTGTAATATCAATGAAGTATGTGTATCAATCACCAGTATAGTATAAACATCACACGGGATAGACCAAGTCACAATCCCCAATAGTATCCGACCCCGCACTCGCCATGGAGTGGGTGTCATGCCTCAATATAGCGTTACGATGTGAAAGTTCGGGGTTTCAAACCCTCAGAACAACATTTACATCTATTACTCACCTCTAACCGACCGCAGACTAGTCCGCAATGCCCTTTCCTCTTGAACCGACCTCTTCGCGCGTCGAATCTAGTCAAAACCACAACGAATACGTTACAATAGGCTAAGGAAATATAACCCAATCGAAAAGACTCGAAAAATGTCGAAAATCCCGAAATTAGCAAAATCCGAGCCCCCGGGCCCACTTCTCAAAATCCAGAAATTTTTACATCAAAATGTTCCTTATATCACCACGAGTCTATACATACCAATTTCACAAGAATCGGAGTCCATTTGACCCCTCAAATCCCTAATTTAGAATTTCAATTTCAAGCCCTATTTTCTTACAATTTGGCTATATTTTCATGAATTTCAAGGATGATTGCACAATATAATCATGTATTTAGTTCATAGGACTTACCTCCAATCACTTCCCGTCAAAACCCCTTCAATTCCCGTCCAAAAGCTCTCAAGGTTGCTCAAAAATGGTGGAAAAATGGGTTGGGTTCGCGGATGAAATGTTAATATTTCGGAAGTACTGTTCACGGTTCACTATTCACGCGCGCGGTTACTGTTCACTGCTGCAGAAAATACAGCAGCTTTATGTGAAATTTGCAGCACAACCATGTTTTTACTAAAATGGCTCTAACTCCATCATACGAACTCGTAATTAGACGATTCTTGTTCCTATGAGTCACAAATAATAATACAAACACAACCCTTCAATTGAAACTTAATTCGGAGCTCGTTTTCCCAGTTCAATACCCATTTCGCTCGTTAAACAATTAACTCACATTTCACGTCAAAAACCCAATCGCGACTTGATGAAATTAAACCAAAATTTCCAGATCAGTCCTATAATTCATGATTTAAATTCTGGAAGTCTCGAAATCAAATTTGGATCTCTAGAACTACAAATGAACCTTTAGATCATTACATTTATGCTCAAAACGGCAAAAATCTACCAAAAATGACCCGTTGGGCATCCGAAACACACCCGAGGCCAGTGGGACCTCAACCAATCATGCCCACATAATTCATAACATCATTAAAACCTGCTCCAATCATCAAAACACCTCAAACAATATCAAATTATTCAAAACTCATCGAATTCAAGCCTAAGTTTCCAAAAACTTTTGAAAATACACTTTCGATCAAAAACCCGACCAAACGATGTCCGAATAACCTGAAATTTTGCACACACATCACAAATGACATAACAAAGCTACAACAACTCTCGGAATTCCATTCCGACTCCCAGATCAAAATCTCACCTATCAACCGGAATGTGTCAAGCATGGGCCAGTGGTCAAGAACAGCCTCGACATGAGTCACAATTTGCGACACAACAAGAACAGCACCACTCTCATGAGTACCACTCGTACTCGTTTGATCTTCCTGCAAAGATTGAGAAGCCTGCCCGAAAGGTGGTACAGAAAGAAATGACGCAAAGAGTGAAAAGCTTAGAACAATGGTTGATAAACATGCAAGGGTCGACATGTCAAAAGAGTGTTGCCTTCAAAGATCTATGTATGTTCCCTGATGTCCACTTGCCGCCTGGTTTCAAGACTCCCAAATTTGAAAAGTAGGATGGACATGGAGATCCCATAGCCCACCTGAAAAGGTATTGCAATCAACTGAGAGGTGCGGGAAGAAATGAAGAATTGTTGATGGCTTATTTTGTGGAAAGCCTTACGGGAGTAGCCTCCAAATGGTTTATGGATCAAGACACGTCTCGCTGGTATGTCTGAGATGACATGGCACAGGCCTTTGTTAAACAGTTTCAATACAGCATCGACATTGCCCCAGACCGCATTTCCCTTTCAAACCTGAAGAAGAAACCAAGT